CAGACTACGACACTGGAGTTCTTGCTCATTGAAGACGATAAGACCGAGTCCACGGTGGTCGGGCAACGTCAGTGTCTCGAAGGCCGCCGATATGCCGTTCTTATTATGACGAATAAAAAAAAAACATCTCTCTTTCTCTGTCCGTCTCGGTCCCGTCATCTTCCTTGCTTTCTTCCCTACCGAGCTTATAAGTGATGACCGCCGTCGCGTTGGGAACCAGTAATCACGTTGGATTATTTCGGAATAGATCCCGAAGTCAAACAGAAGCTACGCACAACGAGTCACAAATAACAAACAAATAGCGACGCAAAGCGGAAGTACAGTCTCTCGTATGTCGACGACAAAGACAAGGCTTTCCTTTGGTTGATGAATCTTACCGAGACCACCATCGTTGGCGGCTGCCTGAGGCTTGAAGCTTCCCGGAGGATCGAAACTCGAAGGACAAATCGAGACAAGAAAAGAGGAAGCACACCGAAGACGAGCCTGGCGACGGAAAGACAATTTACGAAAAGGCAGATAACGGAATTGCTTTTCGAGAATTGCATCGGTCAGTTGGATTTGGCGAAAAACGTAGAAAATATTTATTCAAATAAAAGCGCAACTTTAACAACGTTTGCGAACTCCTTTGAGTTTTTGCGAATTTAAAAAGGGATGAAATGCACATTTAGATTTTAGAGAACAAAAAGAAGAACAAATAAAGTATATATAAAATATAACCAAGATAAATTATATATTATTATGTCAACTGGGCGTGATTGCGATTTATTATTCCTGTATGAAACGGAAACGTGCTTTGACATTTATAATATTATAAGTAGTGAAGGGGCGTAATTATCTTTATGATCAAAGATCACGTTTTGTAAGTTGGCGAAACAAAATAAGTAGATCGAATTAATTTTAATATTTGTATTTGTTATTTACATTTATTTCGCAATTAATGGATTTGAAACTTGGATATGTAGATAGCAACAAATTCTTACGTTATTATTAAGTATAATTTTTTTTGTTATATATTTGTATATATTGTTCTGCTAACTTAATCTTCCTTTAGCGAAACATCATTTTTTAAGAAAACTTACACAGAACAAGTTTTTTCCTCTGACACCTTTTCAGCAACAAATAAAAATATTAGTTAGCAGAATTGGTTCTGCTCACTTTATTCCGTTTACTTATAAGACGTACAAAGATCAAAGCTTAACGATATGAAAGGCATGATAATGAGACATAAATAGCTATGAATGTATAGGAAGATATACGTAACCCACATACATGCACATAGATATAATATACACTATAGTTGTACACAGCAACTCTGATATTATTTTGATTCACATGACTAAATTCGAGACATACGTATTTCCTCCTTAAAAAGCATTTAATACCTACTAAATTATTACTGAACTAATTTTCTCTTTTGAAATTAATAGGATCTCTTGAGGTATTTTTTGATAATAAAACATGCATATATCGCAATTATTGCATACATATTCATTATAGACGTAACAATTTAATTGATAAAATTCAAATAAAATCGTTATACCGTATAAAATTACGAATTAACTACTAGTAATTTCAATTTGTTATCAAGAAATATCTTAGCATAAATAATGTCATTAATAAAGAGCAAATCAATTTATTAGTTACTATAATATAAATGTTTTATAAATTCAATTATTACGAAAAGTATTATATGTAAAATATTAATACTGTAGGAATATCAAACTTTAATCTATGTACAAGAAACATTAATTATTTAATCGTTACAATAAATTATTTATAAAATAACATTCAATTTTGTAGACTGTGGAAAAATGGCTTCCATTCCGCAGGGTGCTTTCGCAGTGTGTAAAGTTCGCTATAACGAGGAGCAAACTGTTTCTATGATGAAGAAAAAAGAAAAAACTGAAGAAAAGAAGGAAAACGTATTCAATCCGAGGCCTCCTCTAGAGGGTAAGTGAAAATGTTCTTATTTAGTTTCACTATTTTTATAAATTCAACTTTCGTTTCAGACGGATACACATCAATTTTCTTAATTTAATTTATACTTGTACATTTGATTTTTTAAATATGTAGGTTGGGAGCTAATGCCACTCAAGTACAACAGTAAACTGATGAATAGCATTTGGGGCTTGTACAATCGCTATTCGGTGCACAATTTTAAGAAGAACACTGACGCCGAGGAGGGGGCCCGCGGTGGGGTGGCCGCGGCAATTTGGGGCACCATTTTGGAGAACCAGCCCTCAACCAATGCCGCCGTCACCGCCACCGTGGAAGCCCCACAGATCATGAGGCCCAGAAATCGCCTTTAAAATTTTTAACGCAATGCTGCCATGTAACTTCAAAAAATCATTGAAAAATAGTAGTTGAGAATGAGCAATTTATGCGCATAATTACAATAGAAAATGGGATAATAAATAAATATATGTATATATATATAACATATATATATATATAACATATTTTAAAAATACGTATATACGAAAGATGTATTAGTAATTATACGTATATACAAATTTGATTGAGGCTTCTAAATGGCCATTTTAATGCTTATACTGTGAGATTTCGCCTTACAATTTGTTATTATCATACTATTTCAATATCATTGCATATAACGCGTCGTAAATTGTTATTCGTTTTGATTCTAAAAATCAGACTGTTGTTTATATCTATAATAAGGCAGCACAAAAATCAATTATGCTATTTGCAACGCAATAATCAAGAAAGACTTTGTAGCAGTATTTAAATGTTTATTTTGTTTAGAAATTTGTTTGAGATATCGATTCAGTTTCTGATCGATTAGTGTTGGGAATAAAAACTTTAAATAATTCCCATTTTTTCAAATAAAAATTTGCGTAAAAATACGAATATTATGAAATAGTGCGAAATTGAAAACGCATTTGAGCAACTACAGTGTGAAATATCGCGAAATATTCACCTTACATGTACACGTATAGTAATTAATAATGACCTATGTGATCGCTTTATGTATTTTTGTAATAAAGTAAATACTAAATAAATAAATAAACTACATATGTCAAACGTTAATATAATACATATATTATGTTACAATAATGAAATTTAATTAAATAAAAATTTGACATCTTAGAGAATATTTCTTCAGCGATAATTAAAATTGTAATTTCTTTTATCGTCTAGGGGTCTAACCATCCTGAAACTTTGAAAAAAATCGAAAAATTTGTTTTTGCATTTTTTAAAAGTTTGAACTTTTAAGAATATTTTAAGCCAAGACCGATGTCAAAATACCAAAAATTGGCCAAATTATAAGAATTTATAGAGAGGCGAATCAGGTTACCGTGCGCGAGAATAACAGCGCGGCCGTTGATGCTAATCGAGAAGCCACTCTACCTGGGGCTCTATTCTTGAAAAGAAACGTATACGTAACGTATACTGTAGCATTTCCCTAGACTTTCGTATACGTTTCTTTTCAAGGATAGAGCCCCTGAGCGTCTTTTGTGTATTTGTATGTCGTGGGCCACTCCGTGGCCATTTTCTAGAAGTTGAAGGCGAGGTGTATGGTGCTGGAATAGCAGATTAAAGGTAAGGCCATTTTATTATATAAAAAAATCGTTTCGAATCTTCTTTTGCATTTTTCTCGAAACCATGTTTTTCAAGACGGACATAAATTTTTCTCCGAAACTATAATAATCCGATTGACACTTAAATTTTGGCAGGGATATTCTTAAAAAGATTATTTATTGTGTAACGTACGATTTTTTTGATATGTTAATCCGTTTATTTATAACAAACTTTTTAAGTTGTCGTTTTAAGATGAAAAAAAACTTTTTTTTTTTCAAATCGAGCTACTTTCTACATTTCTCAAGAAAAAAACCCTACGTTACACGATAGCTGTTACATCTGTTTACAAGAAACTATTTTGTTTTTTTTATTTCAGATTACTCCCGCCCTTGGAAATGTTACACCCGTCCGATCCCGCCGCGACGAAGGAGTTTTGCGCGAATTGCTCTATAAACTTTTTAATTAATCTATTTCAAGAAAGTAATACAATATACTAAATTTAATTAAGTAATTGGATTCCTTACAGTTACATATAAAAAAATTAATTACAAAAGAGCTAATATGGAGTCAACGCTGTAAGTGGTGCGTAAATTCTTTCTAAATTATTACTTAACAGATGATATACAAATAATATACATTTGTCAAATCTGTTTTGAAATTTACAAATTTACAGTTTGAACATTGTATATTACACATATGAAATATAAGTTAATTTTACGCAATAGGTAATTTAAAAAAAAAATCTTAATTTTGTGCTTATTTTAGATCCTGTCAGGGTGGTTAGATCTCTTAAGTAGCTATTATATTGCTCAAATGATTAATTTAATTCACGTTTAATTGCAGATAAAAACTTTTATAAATAAAAATTTCTATATAATCGTTATTTCTATATAGTGCATCCGAAAGAGAGTTGATAATTTCGTATCTATGTTGATACAATATATATTATATTATACAAATTTAAATATTAGTTTATAAATTAATTATTGATTGATTTATAAATGAAAGGAAAATTATTTAAAATTTCAAATTATTAAAATTATTAAAATTTCAAATCATATATAATAATTTATCGCTCCCTCTACAGCACAAAAGCTGCAACAACAATGCTACAACATTGCAGCAATATTGCACGTTGCATGAATATTACAGCGTTTTATTGTAACGACATTGTTAGGGGCTCCGCACAATAAAAGGAACAGAGAACAGAGAATAAGAATACACAGTGTGTATTCCACAATACATGATTTCTGATAGGTTGAAATTCTTATTCTCTGTTCTCTGTTCCCTGTTCCTTTTATTGTACGGAACCCCTAACACTAACATTCTGTAATAACCAAACAACAACAAAAAAAAAAATTTCTGTCCATATTAAAACAAAATACTAGAGATATTACTTATTTTCTCAAGTTAATATTGATTAAATTAATCGAAGTTTAGTCAAAGTAATCTATAATCCCTGATGTCACTGACTCAACTATATTACTATAGTTACTACCTGCCGGCAATTGTAGCGACCTAGCGAACTTCACGATGTTCCATGTGAGACGTTGGGCGCGGAAATCGATCTTTTGATTTGTAAAAAAGTTCGATCGGTATGGGTCGTCGAGAGCGCGTTTTATCGAGACGGGATCACATTTACTAATATAATGGGCGTCTATAATTAATAGAGAAAAAGGACGAAAGAAATGGCTCTCTATGACAATCAACATTGGCTCCTGTCGCACATCAGAGACAGTTTTCTCGCGACGGACGATACAGGTATATACTTCTGATAAATTTAGGTTAGAATCGTCGGCAGAGGCATTACTCCGATCCGAAAATATTCTGAAATAATATTTCCGATGATGTCGATGACTCATGCTTATTGTAAGATAAATTAAATTAAAATGAATTGTTCATATTCATATATTAATGTGATTCAGTAAATAACCCAAATGACTTAATAGATAGTATTATGTTCTATATTACAATTAATTTATTTAAAATTGTAATTATTTTTTGCTGTATATGTCTTATATTACTCTTGGGCTGTGTTCTGATATACATTAGTCAGTACTGCAAATCTATAATTTATGTATATCATATATTTTCATATTGACAATAATGTATATCAAAACATAACTTTTTGATTGAAAGGTATGTGCGACATGGTGATACTAGGGGAGGATATTCCTAAGCAGTTGAAGAAAAACAGTACCTTGCAATGTTATCCTGGTATGGAAGAAAGTGACGACGAAGATTTAGATGTGATGGCAGAATCATATGACATACAAATGGGTACATACTTCTATTTTCTATTATTTTATGTAAGAGTATCATTTAAAATCCTAATTGGAATTAAGTCAGTTTGAGTCCATAAAATAATTTTTATAGCATAATTTGTTATAATTAAAACTAAATTAAAGTGCAATTATTTCTATTGAATTGCTTAATTATGCTTTTTTTTATGCGTTGTTCTAGAAATGCCATTCAGTCACAGACAGAGATCTAATACTGCACAAAGATTAGAGAAAATGGATATAGAAAGGAAAAAGGCCGCCAAAATCAAACATGTTAAATGGGAACATAATCTTAGTGCTGTGACGCCTGCAGATCAATCAGATCTATTTCAAAGAAAAGATTTTCGTAGGAAAACTCCACTTAAAAAAGGACAATCTCTTTTGTCGGAACAACTCGAAAAATGTCCATATTTACCACCAAATCCATTTAAAGAATATATCAAATTTGATGGCGACGTATGTATCCATTTTTTGTTTCCCTCAAAAAGTTCATTTCCAAAAAAAACCTCTTAAAAGAAAATTATATATTACAAAATTTAGCAAAAAAAAATGGAAATTATGAATTATAAAATTATTCTTATGAGCTTCATTCTTGAAAAACATGAACAAAACTTTGCAATATTAAAAAAATTTCTTTACGCAGACACAAGTGAGCGTTCCTGTGAGAAAGTACAGGATATTCATGTGTATGTTGCCGAAAGAGGACAGGACGTATCCGCTTCAAGCAGCGGTGATAGTAACAGCACGAGTGTTGGACTTTATTGGATTAATTTGTTACAAATATGCAATTGAACATCCCGACCATAATTTGAAGTCTGTAACAAGTTACTTTATATATATATATATATATATA